CTGCTCTTACTGGTGCAATGTGCAATCAATGAAGACTGGCTACCAGGCTGGTCCAATTTAGCCATGAAACCTCCCACACTAAAATGACAGGTGTTTCAGTTTCATTGTCCAACCCCTGTAAGTATTGGAAATATTTTCGAGAAAGTTATTAGGAGTCAATGTGAATGATCTAAAGAGACATATGTAGTTCTGGGGTGCAAAGTGCAGGACATCTGATTTGAATGAGATTGCTAAAACTGAATCAAAAACTGCTTTAACGGGTGTGTGCACACGTTCCAGACACTGAATGTGTAAACTGTTAAAAAATGTTCAGGATTAGAATAATAATATAATGTCATGCCAGCAAGCTCCATCCAGGGCTTAAAGAGTGTTTGATACATTATTATGGCAGCTTGTGCACCACGTCCTGTGTGGAAACATCATTGCTCTTTATTCAGAAAGTCTTCCAGCTGGCAGTGCTGCCAGTGAAAAAGTAATTTTCCAGACCTCCCAATCTCAGATCTGCTATCAGCCAACGATAAGCTGAAAAGCAGTTTTCTAGGATCCCCATTTAATAGAAGAACTTGTGGCTCTTGATTAATCGATTTCTAGTCTCTCACTTTTAAGATGGTCTGTGATTAAAAAAAGCATACCAATTCAAGTGTCAGCTTTGAAAATCTGTGGCATTTGTGAACAAAACCTGCCATATAGAATGACGGGAGGTCTGAAGAAGAATATGACATGTTACAGATTTAACTGAAGATTAATATAGGCAAGAAGTCACGCAGGAGAGACAGTAGGACATTAGCAGGGGCAGGGGGGAAGGGAAACGAGCAGAAGGACAACTAAACGATGTAGCCGCCTTAGGAGGGAAGACAGTTTGACGGACCGGTAGACAGAAAGCTGCGAAGGTCGACAGGTTTACATACAGTGAGACTGTGTTACCCTGGCAACCCTGTCATTCACAGACTGCAGAGTTCAGTTCACTCTTTATTGTCCCCAGGGGACAATTAGGAAGGGTTAACAGGGAGACACATAAGCAGAGAGACAGACAGGGCATACAGGTTGACAGGGACAGACAGACAGACAGACAGACAGACAGACAGACAGACAGACAGACAGACAGACAGACAGACAGACAGACAGACAGACAGACAGACAGACAGACAGACAGACAGACAGACAGACAGACAGACAGGCTGGCCTCAGAATCCTGCAATGCTTTGGGTTTGCTGTTTGCTGAGACCAACGTTTCAGTTGACAGTGGAACACCAGGAGACACTCGCTGTTTAGATAAAAACCTACATGCAGAGGGTTCAGCTCAATGAACAGGTCCAGTTCATTCTCAGTTCTATACGTCCAGTTCTGTCCAAACAGATTTAATTTCTCATCCAGGAGATTAAAAAGAACAAGAGAGAGTTCATGTTTTCAGCAGATGTCAAAGTGCTGTCAGTTCTGTAAAACAATAAAATACCTCCACCTAAATTCATCCCTGTCTTTAATAAACTCAGTCTGGATACAATCGGTCCCATCAATCAATTAATCAACCAATCAGGAGAACTTTAAACATCACTTCTTCATTTAAACAGATTTCATCCTCCGTGGTCTTTTGTTCCTGATCTCTGCAGCTGTCAGAGTGAATCAGGTCATTTTATCAGATCAATACCTGCTTCCTGTCATGTTCCTCTCATGATCCTGTTATTGAAAGATAAGATTTGAAATCTTATCTTTCAATAACATTTCAGATCTTATTTTCATCCAATAAGATTTGTGAAATGAAATCCAAATCTTATTGGATGAAAATCCTGTCAGCACCAGGTGGAGATAAACTGAGACTGGGAATAAACCGTCATTTGGGTCAGACCAGCAGAACTGAGAACATATTTTATGACCCGATAAATAAATCCTGCTGGACTCGTAAAGTTTCTCACCGTGGGGGCGGCCGCTCCGGGTACGTGGAGCTGCTGGATCCGGTGAGCATCCACGACCGAGCCGAGATCGCTCCACGCGGGTTCCGTGGGCAGCGCCAGAGTGTCCGAGCTGCGCGCCTCGGTGCAGTCCGCCTGGTGGGGTCCGCAGGAGGTGTTGGTGATCCGTGAGGGAAGCAGGAGCAGCAGCGCTCTCCTGCTGCTCTCCATCTCTCTCTCTCTCTTTTCTCCTCCTCCTCCGCTGCCCCGCCTCCTCCTGCTCCTCCTCCTGCTCCTCCTCTGCCTCCTCCTCGGCGCTCCACCTGCAGCAGGAGGTGCTCTGACTGGGACAACAGGTCAGGACAGGTGAACACAGTGAGAGGAACCAGGCTTCCTATGACTGATTCATTTAGGTTCAGTTCTTCATGTTTCTTTTCATTCACTCTGTCTCTTTTTCTCATGGTTTTCTCTCTAGATGTTTTAGTTTTAGGTTGTTTTTAAGGTTTTTCTCCTTTTGGCTGAGCGGTTCCCCAGAGCTCTGGGTCCAGGTTTAATTTTCCTTTCAACGAACCAGTTTCACATTTTAAATTGGACCTGAATGTGCTTTGTTCCCAGCAGCAGAGGTTTGTCAGGTTTTCTGTTAACAGCAGCTGTTAACTGAAAACCTGACAAACCTAAAGATCCTCCAGCTGAGAGGAGGAACTGACTCTCAGGTTCTGGGTTTCAGGTGTTTGATGGATTTTTTCCTGTATCTTGAAGATCTGGTCCTGTTCATCTGATGACTGTAGCTGTTGACCTTCCTGCTTTTGTCCTTCATTTTCCTGATGTTTAGCAGAACATTCGGTCCAGGTTCAAGGTTCACCAAGCAGCACCACACAAAACAGACTCATTTAAACTCCAGTTAAAGGATTGACCTTGAGATGATGAAACAGCTCCTGCAGCTCACAAACCAAGTTATGTGAATTTGGTTTAGAAATTTCAAGTTTTAAATTGTGCAACTGCTTAAAGTTTTAATAAAAGTAAAAGTATTAGTCTTTGCAATTGTTAAAACTTACAAATCAGGAAAAAACATCCATAACTGTAAAATTAATTTCTCCTCTCATCAATATATTTGTGTTTCCTACCCAGAATTCAAAGTGTTGAATCTGAAGTACCATAAGAGTCTTTGTTAGGTTCCCTTTCATTTTCAATGTGCAGAACCGTCAGTACAAACAGAACCTGTCAGTCCAGATGACACTGGAATGAATAATTAACTTTCTAAGCCTGAAGGCGACACATTGTTTCATAGCTCAGACAGAAGAAAGGTAATTATTGGTAATAAGTTTAAACAATGGGAGACAAACTGAGGCTGAAACTGACAATATTTACCAGCCGGGTTCTCCAATCAAAAACTATAACAGCTGGCCCAACTAACAGGACCTCTAAATCAACATGGAGGTGATGTTTGGGTCGTTTCTGGGGCAGAACTTTAGGATACAGAGTTTGATCAATAAAACAAATCTCAACATAAAACAGGAGCGTTAATGAGAGAGTTTCTACAGAACAACCACAAAAAGAGACCAAATGAACAAAACTGGAGATAAAAGAATCTAATAATAATAATCAGAGGTAAACAACCACATTAAAACATGAAACCACAACAATCTGAATCTTATGTACCTGCAAGCAGCAGAAAACCTGAAGATTCTGAGACGTTTTAGCTTCAAAGTCTCCTAATGGTTCCTGAAAATCTCCAAGTAAAGAAGATGGTTCTGAGTTGTGTTTCCAGTTTCTGTTGTCCTTTCAGGATCCAGCTGTTACCTCCAGAAACATCCAGTCAGGATTCCCAGCAGCTCTGGATGGATTCCTGATGTTGGACCTGAGGATCTCTGATGAAGAAAGGACCCACCAGCATGCTGTTGATGTTTATAAGAGACCCAGTTCTGATGGCAGATGTAGGTCTGTGGGTCAGAGCTGCAGCAGAACATCATTACAGTAATTACCGGTTGATCTGCTGCGGTTTAATTCTCATCAGACAGAGATGATGTGATGAGTTTTCCTTTTTAATGGAAAATGTTGTTTTTGTATAAAATCCTGAATAATATCTGAAAAAACAGCCTGACAGACAGGAGAAGATCCTGGAAGGTCTTCATCAGGTCTTTGATCTGATAAAGTAAAACTAACCCCCTCCACCATGTCATGGTTCATTGCTGGTTCCTCCCATTACTGGTCCATGTCCTGTTCCTCTTGTGATCTCCACTGGAAGTCTGCTTGTTGCTCATCTTTAAAAACTCAAAGTCAGTTCTCTGTGTTTGGGTCATAATTAACCCTCAAACATGACATGCATTTATTTGGCTGATTGAATTCATCCTGTTTCATTGATAAATAAAGCTGGGTGTCATCTGCATAGCAGTGGAAGGAAACTGATTTCTAGGCCAAAGAGAACAGAACCAAGTAAAGTACCAGAAGGAAGACCAAAACTCACTGTGGGTAAGTGATGAAGAGGCATTGTTCACATGTAGAGCCTGGAGTCTGATTAAATCAGTGCAAAGCTTTGTTTCCAGAATGAAAGTAAAATGTTTGATTTAAAGTTTGGCATTAACAGAAATCCTGTTGATCAGCATAATAAAGTATTCGGTCCTGCTTCATGCAGAGAACACTCTGAACCTTCTAACTGATCAGAGCTTAATGGACTTTATTTGTTGTTCCACATACATTTAAAACACAGAACAAAATTAGCAAGCTAGCACACAAAGAGGAAGTCAGCCTTCAAAATAAAATCATCTTCAACCTCCATCACAGAGAACACGCAGATCCTCGAGAGCATCATCTTATTTTATTCAGGTTTAAATTCATGTTACTCAGGATGGAGACAGATCTTCCATATTTCAGGATGACGTTAAGCAGAGGGTTAGGGTTGTGTTCTATAATCAACAGGCTCAGGAGGTGGTGCTGTAGTTCAGCTGGTCAAAGGGTCTGTCTGATAAACAGAAGCTCCTGGGTTCACATCCCAGCAGTACCTCAAATGTACATTTCAGTCCCGTATGTCCTGAAAGGAACTGCAAAAAGGCCACCAGTCCATCACAGCGCCTGATTTCCTTCAAGATCTTCAGCAGAGTTTAGGTCTCAGTGAGTGAAGTTTTTTATTTTCTGCCTTCAAACCAGGAAAAACCTCAGAAATGAAAAAGAAAGCTGTTCCTCAGTCAGATGTTATATAAAACCTAAAGTTTTATGCAGATGACGTTTATCTGAACCTAGAGTATTGTCAGGGTGTGACATTTTTGGACTTTGTTTGTGGCTTTGTGTTTGTTTACCTTTTGCTTAGATGTTTCTATTTTGGTTTTTGTATCATGTTTTCTTTTCTCCCTCTTCCACCTCCTAGTGTTTACTTCTTAAGTT